GGCTGGATTTGAACCCGCCACCTTGGGTGTACATGGCTGGCGCCTTAGCCACTTGAGCCACAGGCGCTGAGCCGGCAAGATTCTTTTGTCTGCATTCCATCCTGGGATTCCCCAACATGCTAAAAGATAATTTTAAATTGGCAAATATTCACTCTTTTCTGCTGCGGGAGTTCATGTCACATATCCACCATTGCAGTGTTGCGCAGAACAGTTTGCTACCCTAGAAACCCCCTGTACCTCCCCTAGTCATACGCTGTCTCCTCTCAGACCCCTGGCAACCACTGATCTCTTTTCTGTCCCCATAGTGTTGCTTTTTCTGGAATGTCGTAAGTACGGAACCCTATGGTACATAGTGTTTGTCAGATCGCCTTCTTTCACTCAGCAGTCTGCATTTCAGATCCATCCTATTTCTTTCCATGGCTTCATAGTTCTCTGCTCTTCATCACTGAGTAGCATCCTGCTGTCTGGAGTTAGCACAGTTTACCTACCCACCTACTGAAGGATATCTTGGTGCTTCCAATTTCTCCCAATTATGAATAAAGCCACCATAAATACCTATGTGCTGGTTTTCAATTCAATCAGGTAAATACTAAGGAATGTGATGGCTGAATCATATGGTAAGAGTATGTTTAGCTTTGTAGGGAGCTGCCAAACATTTTGCATTCCCACCAGCAGAGGGGCGCTCCTGTGACTCCATGTCCTCATCGGCACTAGTCAGAGTTCTCGATTTTGGTCATTCTAATAGGTGTGTATCTCATTCTGCTTTTTTTTTGTGTGTGTGTGAGACAGAGTCTCACTTTGTCGCCCTGGGTAGAATGCTGTGGTATCATAGCTTATAGCAAACTCAAACACCTGGGCTCAAGTGATCCTCTTGCCTCAGCCTCCTGAGTAGCTGGGACCATAGGCACCCACCACAATGCCCGACTATTTTTGGTGGAGCCAGGGTTTCACTCTTGCTCAGGCTGGTCTTGACTCCTGAGCTCAGGCAATCCATCCCCTTTGGCTTCCAAGAGTGCTGGGATTACAGGTGGGAGCCTGAACTGGGCCTTCCTACAAGGATTTTTTTTTTCTTGGCCAGGGCTAGGTTCGAACCTGCCACCTCTGGCATATGGGGCCAGTGCCCTATTCCTTTGAAACACAAGTGCCGCCCCTACAAGGATTTTGAAAAGCTCTTTATCTACTATCACCCAGCACAAACATATGCATTTTGAAGTTGACATCTACAGGATTTCAACAGATATTTAAACAAAAGGTGTAATTTCTGGCGTATCATTAATACATAATACAATCCTTTAAAACCAAAACTGGGCTATCACTTTTTACAGGAGGCCAGTGGCAACTAAATCACCTAGTGAGTGGATAGCTGCCTCCCTGTCCAAGCCTGCTGTCTGCTTCTCCCTTCCCTTGCCCACTTTGGAAGTGGGTCCTTATCTTCTGGTCTTGTTTCCCTCTGCTGCCCTCAGAGACATCCCCTTGTGCCATCTTTCTCCAGCTTGGCAGTCTTTCTTACCCCATCATACTTCTCTGAGACACAAATATATGTATGGTGATTCGATTTCTTTTTATAACCCATGACCACGGAGCTCTGATAATGTTTCTTTTGGCTTAAGCAAAGCTGCATTGGTATATTGTACATTCTGGTAACAGTCAGGTGTCCATAAACACACAGAACACATTGCTGGAGTGAGAAAGGACTCTCCTCCAGTCCCCTCCTTATATTTCTTTTCTTAAATGCAAGTCCCAGGAACCTTCATTTTCCCAGAGGAGCAGGGGGGATTAGAACTAGGGCCCCTAGAGCCTCCTGCGGGGACTTGGGAGGGGTGACTGGGAAAGGCAGGGCAGGATCTGGCAGGGGCCTTCTCACATTTCCCAGTTTTTGGACAGAGTACATGTGGGAGGTGAGGTCTGGAAAAATGATGTTAAAAGGCCCTTTCTACCACATGGGGCCTTTGCATTCTGCCAGGGGCCTGCAGATTGCTTTGGAGACTGGTATGCAGCAGGCCATTCCTGGAGCCTACAACTTGGCAGAGCCCCTGTGACTCTGGCTTCTGTGGATGTACCCCTGCCATTGCACCCACACCCCAGCCCGGGAGGGGTGTCAGATCCTCAGTGGGGCTGGATGGGGTGAGGAGTGGATGAAGAATTGAAGTCAGTCACCCAGCATTTATTTCCTGAGCACCTCCCCTGGGCTGGGTTGGCAGAGACAGTTTGGGAGTGACTTCTTTGGTGAGCAAGACCAGACAAAGAGGGCCATTTGTGGTGATGGATGCTGTAAGGACCGGGCAGGTTATATACTAGAGACCAGGCAGGTTATGTACTGGAGATTCAGCAGGGACGGGTCTAAGGAGGCCCACTTGAGGGGTGACATTGGAGCTGAACTCTGACAGAGCAAGGGAACATGCCAGACAGCTGTCTGAGCAAAGAGAGTTCCAGGCAGTGGGTGGTGAGTGCAGAGAACAGCTAGCACCCATGTGGTGTGTTTGAGGGCCAGGTTAGGAGGCCTGCATGGTGAAGAGGACAGAGGGGAAGAGGCTACTGTAAGGACTCATGCTTTGACTTGGAGTGACATGGATAGTTATAGGAGAGTGACATGATCTCAATAAAGGGAATGTTCTGGCCGCTGGGTGGAGAAGAGAATCAGGGTAAGGGGCTAAGAGTGGAGGCAGAGAGAGCCAAGTGAGTGCTGAAGTCAAGGTGGCAAATGGGGTGGCAGGGGCTGGGAACTAGCGAAGGAGGCTGTTTCAGACCAAATGGTCAGGACGCCTGTCTGCAGAAAGGACGTTAAAGCAGACACTGGAAAGTAGCAAGTCACACCAACATATGGGTGGAGAGACCTTCAGGCGGCTGCAGCGCTGGTGCAAAGGCCCTGGGGCTGGCTGGCCAGGCTGTGGGGGCTGGAGCTGCTGGAGCCGCCTGCTACAGAAGAGCGCAGCAGCCCAGGCGCTGCCTTACCAGGCGCCCTGCAGCCGTGGCTGCGCTCAGCCACCGCGTGCCCGGCTGCCGGTGGCCGGCGGGGGCGCGCGCGACAGAGGCGGGGTCGGTGGGGGGCTCCACGCAGCGGCTACAGCGTAACGCGACGCTGCGGCTCCTCTACACCTGCCGCCTCGGGGCGCGCACGCGGGGAGCTCCAGACTCCGGGCCACAGTCGCCCCAGCCCTCGGGTGCCTCCGTGCACACCGGTCACGCTCGGGACGTGGGACCAGGCTGCCCAAGTGCCTCTGGTTCCAGCCGCTGAGGGCCAGGCTGCGTCTGGGCGGCCGCGTGGGTGGCCGCGGTCTTGGCAGGTGGCTGTGAGCGGGGGTCACAGGATCATCTCCAGAGGGTTGCTGGTCTGGGTGGCACGTGCCTGTGGGCTCTGCGCCCTGGGTGGTGGGTCTTGGCGGGGGTGGGGTGGGGAACTGTCTGGGGTGGGCCCCAAGAGACAGGGGCGGGGGTGTACGGAGCCTTCTGGAAAGCAACCGAGCTGGCTCTGATGTAGGGGAGAAAGGGTGGTCAGGCGCCGGTCGCTGATGAGGTTTCAGAGTGGGGGAGGACTGGATGGCTGAGGTGAACCTAGGATAGGGAGGGATCCATCTGGGAGTGTGGACCTGGGCAGTGGGGGAGGGGAGCTTCCTGCGGGGTGTTCCTGAGGGGCGGAGGGACGAGGGTGGCTGAGGCTAGGCTTGGCCTGGGATGGGGAGGTGCTGCCCCTTGTCCAGGGGGCCTTCCCTCATCTTCCCCTACCCTTCCAGACATGCCTCTGCTCAGGAAACAAACGGAGGACATCAACAGCGTCTATGAGATCCGGGAGAAGCTCGGCTCGTGAGTGTGTGTGTGTGTGTGTGTGTGTGAGAGAGAGAGAGAGGGAGAGAGAGAGAGAGAGGGAGAGAGAGATGGTGTGTGGTGGTGCGGTGGCATCCTACAGGGAGGGCTTGCCTGGCTCTTCAAGCCTAGGGCACTTACCCCTCCGGCTGCTCTCCCTCTCCCTGCTTTCTTCCTGCCTCCCACCTTCTGGCTCTGGCAGGGGCGCCTTCTCTGAGGTGGTGCTGGCCCAGGAACGGGGCTCTGCACATCTTGTGGCCCTCAAGTGCATTCCCAAGAAGGCCCTCCGGGGCAAGGAGGCCTTGGTGGAGAATGAGATCGCTGTGCTTCGCAGGTGCGCATCGGGGATAAGAGGAGCCCCTTGGCCCTTAGTTTTCAAGATGTGCCCTCTGCTCTGGTCCATACTTGGTCATCAACCTTCTGGGGGGTCTGGGGCAGTTCTCTTCCCCTCTCTGGGCCTACATGTCTCCACTGGCAAAATTAGAGGGTTGATCTAATGGACCTGCACTTTCCAAATGGGCTTTAGAAGTGTGTGTCCCCAGGTAGGCTTGGGCTTGTGGTTGGGGCTCTTTCTTCCCCACCAGACCCAGCAAGGGTGGCCTCTGGAAGGGCCTGGGGAGGAGGACCAGGAGAAGTAGGAGAGGGCCCAAGGGCTGTCCTGAGGCCCAGGATGAAGCACTCCTAGCCTCTGCTGTGGTCCTGGAGGGGCCTGTGGCAGCCCACAAGGGGCTCTTTCTTGCTGTTGCAGGGTCAGCCACCCCAACATCGTGGCTCTGGAGGACGTCCACGAGAGCCCTTCCCACCTTTACCTGGCTATGGAGCTGTGAGGAGGGTTGGGGCAGGCTGCAGGGACTGGGGTAGGGGCTGAAGCTGGGTCAGCTGAACCCCTGGCTCCCCTCAGGGTGACAGGTGGTGAGCTGTTTGACCGCATCACAGAGCGTGGCTCCTACACAGAGAAGGATGCCAGCCACCTGGTGGGGCAGGTCCTTGATGCCGTCTCCTACCTGCACAACTTAGGCATCGTGCACCGGGACCTCAAGGTGCTGGTCCTGGCTGTCTCCCCAGACTCATGGCTAGGGCCTCTCCAAGCACCCCTCTCCACCAAGGGCTTGGGGAATGTGGGGGTTGAGCCCCCTACCCTGTCCTAGCACTAGGGCCACCCCAGGACTGACCTGGCCTTTTCTGGGTACCCATGTGTCACAGCCAGAAAACCTCCTCTATGCCACACCCTTTGAGGACTCCAAGATCATGGTCTCTGACTTTGGACTCTCCAAAATCCAGGCTGGCAACATGCTAGGCACTGCTTGTGGGACCCCAGGATATGTGGGTGAGGCAGGGCACCCTGAGGCTCACTGGGGGTGGCAGGAGGTTGGGAGAACCCGGGAGGCTGTGAAGGCTGTTGTAACCCGCTGCCTTCAGGTAGGTCATTCCTGGGCTCTAGTTGGCTGAGCCAGTGCTGAGTGGTGTGCATGTGTTCATCTGTCTGTCTCTGGCCCCTAGCCCCAGAGCTTTTGGAACAGAAGCCCTATGGGAAGGCCGTGGATGTATGGGCCCTGGGTGTCATCTCCTACATCCTGTGAGTGACCACTGGGAAGGCTCATCTCCTGTCTGCCCTCGCTGGGTTGGGGAAGGTGGGGCAGCTGGGTGATTTGTCTGTGGGTGCCAGGCTGTGTGGGTACCCCCCCTTCTATGATGAGAGCGACCCTGAACTCTTCAGCCAGATACTGAAGGCCAGCTATGAGTTTGACTCTCCTTTTTGGGATGACATCTCAGAATCAGGTGAGCTTGAGGCTGGCCTGTGCCCGGGGATGATGACGGGGAGGGAGTGGGACAGGGCAGGCTGACCCAGCCTTCCCACTCCAGCCAAAGATTTCATTCGGCACCTTCTGGAGAGAGATCCCCAGAAGAGGTTCACCTGCCAACAGGCCTTACAGCATCTTTGGTGAGTGGGACCTCTGCCAAGCTGTCCTAAGGCTAGAGGGACCACATCCACACCCACCACTTATTTCCAGCCTTTCCCCAGGATATCTGGGGATGCAGCCTTGGACAAGGACATCCTAGGCTCAGTCAGTGAGCAGATCCAGAAGAATTTTGCCCGGACCCACTGGAAGGTCAGCATGGAGGGAGACTTTTGGCTTCCCAGTGGCTGTGTGGGCCTCATGATCCTGGGGCTGGGTCCTGAGAATGGCCTGACCTCTCTCTAATCCCACAGCGGGCATTTAATGCAACCTCATTTCTGCGTCACATCCGTAAGCTGGGACAGAGCCCAGAGGGTGAGGAGGCCCCCAAGCAGGGAGTGGCCAGACATAGCCACCCAGGAGGCCTCCGGGCTGGCCAGCCCCCCGAGTGGTGATGCCCAGGTATGTGGGATGGGCCCCCACTCCTGGGAGCTGGCTCCAGGGAGGGCTTAGCTGGTGGCGGTGCTCCATGTGGCTGAGAGCTAAGGAGGGGGTTCATATAGCCCAGAGAGCTGGGGCAGAGGGTACGACAAAACGAAAGCCCCAGGAAGGCCAGTGGGCACCTTACATTGGGCAAGGTGGTAGGGGGAGAGCCCCTGTGAGATCCAAGGTTGGACCAAGGTGGGGGGTACAAGACATGTGGAGGGCAGCTCCTGATTATCCCCTTCCCTCTGCTTCTCCCCCCAGCAGATCCTGTGGCCAAGTGGACTGACCTCCGATTTCCTTCCCTTGGGTTCTTTTGGTCCCCTCTCCCACCCCTGACCCCAGAGCTGGCCTTGGCTGGAGTTTGAGATGTGGATGTTTTCCCAGTCTGCCCCCAGACTCTGCCCTTGCCCAGAAGTAGTGGATTCCCTCCCCTGTAGCCACTGCCCCCCAAAGCTGAGGCCGCATGGCAGCAGGCTGTAGGGCTCATGCCTTTGCTTCTCTGGTTGTGGGCTGCCCTGCTTGTGTTGTGGCCCTTCAGTCCCTTCCACATTTTCCACAAAACCAATAAAGATGGACAGAGCAATGGGCCAGTGGTGAGCTGGGAGTGGGACAAGTGTGGAGGTGACAAGAATCACTTGTGGGAAAGAAACAAAAGGACTGTGCCACACTGACTTGTCCGCTGCCACCCAAACCTCTGCTTTCCCTCACATCAGGGCAGACGAGCTCTCAATTGTCCAAGAGCTTCCTGTCCCATCCTAAACACACAGAAAGTCCCAGCACATGGCAGCTGGCTAGTCAGTTCTGCCAACCTAGAGGTCTGACTGTGCTGCCATGGGGTCCTGGGAGAAAATGGGCTGCCAGCAGAGGAGGTAGGAGGGAACTGAATGGGGGCCCGAGCAGCACGGGCTTGAGGCCCCAGGGAGGGGCTGGGAAGGACTCACAGGTGGGTGGAGGGTGACCCGAGTCCAGGGCTGTCTTCTCTGCAGCTGCTGCCTCCTCACCATCCCTTCCTTCTTCTTGGCCAGACACCACCTTGTCCTGAAGAGAGGTGGGGGGGCCCCAGGGTCAGGGGGTGAGAGGGACTCCTTGTCCAGGACAGCGAGCATCTCTCACAGCACCTCTTAAGCCAGGCTTTGGTCTCCCCAATGCCTAGCCTCTGTAGGGGCCCTGTGAGCTAGTCCCATGGCTTCCTCACCTCCAACAATCTGTCCTGCCTCTTATTGCCCCTCCCCACCGGGGAGCTTTGTCATCTGCTGGCATCTATGTCTTTGCCAGCATCCCTGTCGTTGGCCCTGCTTGCTGCCTTCTTAGTTTTCACTGGGCTTCCATGACACCTGCTTGTTCTTTCTTTGTTCATCAAATGTTGACTGGGCCCCTACTCTGCCTGGTGCTGCCCATGGGACCAGGAGCCTACCCTGCCCTGGGCACTCTAGTGGAGAGTGAGCTTTACCAGGATTATTAAGAATGATCTTCAAAGGGAAGGCAGTGTGCTGGCTGCTCCAAGCAGGAGTGCCAGAGCCAGCCTTCCGGAGGATAATGGCACTGGCTCAGAGATGGGCAGCTCTTCCACTCTAGGAATGGGACCAGGTGGCTTCTGCTGCGCTGGGCCCCCAGCTCCAGGCTGCCCGGACACAGGGTGCAATTCAGTGTCCCGTCAGCAGGGCTCGCCACCATCCTATCTTTAGAAGTCCATTAGCAGCGTCTGGAGCCTTCGGCACTTGGGCAGCCTTGCAAATCCTTTACTAGCGCTCAGTTGGGAGTGGAGCAAGAAGGGAAATCCTCGGGCCAAGCAGCGGTGGCACCCCTCCATCTCTCTGAGACCTTCCCGTCCGAGGAGGGCAGGCTGGGTCCCCTACGCAGTGGGTGCACGACCCAGGAGACAGGACTCGTGTAGCCCAAGGCAGAGGGTGTGTGTGTGTGTTGGGGAGATGGCGGGGGCACTGAGGCTGGAGCTGGAGGGACTAGCTGGACCAAAACCTGACAGGTAGGAGGGGCCTCGGTCTGGAGCAGTGGGGGCCATGGCAGGGGTCTCAGCTGGAGTCTGCCTTTGCCCAGCTGGGTTAGCTGCCGCTGTGGGTCCTGTTCCAGCGCAGCGACTCAGGGCGGTGAAAGAGGGGTTCGCGGTGGAATGTTCAGCAAGAAGGGCTCAAGAGGGCGGCTCTGGGGGAGAGGTAATGACATTGGTTCTGGACACAGTGGGTTTGAGGTGCCTGAGGGGCATGAAAGCAGAGGAGCAGTGCCTGATTATTCACCCTTCTCTTGACCGCACACCATCTAGGCTCACAGCTGTCCACCTACTACAAAGCATGCCAACATCAACTGCTTCAAAGAGCTTCACATGTGCCTACTTGAACTTCACCTGTGAGGTGGCTACTACATCACCTGCATGTTGTGTACAGGGAAACCAAGGTATAGAGTGGTTAGGTTACTGAGCCAAGGCTATAGAGCCTGTGGCAGAGCCACGACTGATTTGCAGCCTCCACAGCACCATCCTGCCTGCCTCCATGCAAGTGAGGTCATGCTGGACATCAGAGTTGAGTGTGGAATGGGTGAGAAGGGGGAGTTGTTTCCGCCCTCCCTTTGATGAAGGAAACTATCAATGTGATTAAGGAGAAAGATCGTGTGCTGGGGGCACCACCCTGGATTGGAGCTGGCCCTCACAGCTCCTTTGTGTTGCTTTTTACCATTCTCTGTGCCTCAATTTTTGGCTTTGTAAAATGGGAACTAAGACAAACATGGTAGGTCTTTCCATGGTGGTGGAACTAGAGTATGAAACTGGGGCCTTATAAAGACCTGGCTAGCATTCTGTGTGAGGAACAGTCCAGAAGTAGGGCAGGGCTGGTGGCTGGAAGACATGTCTGGGCCATGTGGGGAACAAGGAAAGGAGATGCAGAGAGCCTGGAGGTGGAGCTCAGTCACAGGGGACTCACTAAGGGCAGAGGCTGGGAAAGCTGGGAAGGGAGTCAAGGGCATTGCCTGGGAAGCCAGGAGAGAAGCAGGGCTGGCTGTTCTGGAGACAAAAGGGCAGAACCAGGCCCTGGGCCAGGCAGTGGCCAAGTTGGCACAAGCTACATGTCCCTTCCTTCCAGGTACTGTTTGAGCATGCGGTAGACACGTTCTCCCTCCCCCCACCACCTTTATTAAGGCTTCCTTAGCCTATCTCCAAGCACAGGTGGCAACAGATGCAGCATGGGATGTTTGCTTGATGGAAGGGGCCAGAGATCAGCCTGGAAAGCTAACTGTCCTGAGAGGGCTCTGGGAGCCACCAAAAGATTTTAATTGGGTCCCTGTTCAGCCCTGAATGGGAGAACCCTGTATCACCCTTGGGCCTGTGAAATGCTCAACGGGGAATTGCGCAGCCAGAGGAGGGCTTTCCAGGTTCAAGGGTGGTTCTGGGGTCACCACCGGCAGGAGTACAGGCTGAGCGGTGGTTTCCCTCCACTAACTAGGGACCCTGGGCTTCCGCCACCCTCGCCCTCTCTGCCACCCTTGGTTCTCAAACCCTTACCTCTCCTCGTCCACTGCACCAACAACCCAGGGGCGGAGATGCAGAAGGCGTGGCAGGTCCTCCTGGGTGGCTGGTGCTGACCCAGCCAGGGTGCACTCGCCCCTTATCACCTCACCAAAACTGAATACGTCTCAGCCTTCCTCATTCTCTTTCACGTTCAGCGTTGTCAACCATTCCTGATTATTCAAGCCTGTTGTCTGTTTTGTTTGGGTTTTGGTTTCTTTTGTGGTAAAATTCATGTAACATAAAATAAATCCTTTTTAAAATGAAAAAAAAAGATTTTAAGCAAAACCAGTGACTGGATCAGATTTTAGCTTTAAGAGAGTTTTTTTTTTTAAATATTTTTCAGCCCTATCTGGTCCCTTTTGATAAATATAAAAACCTCACACCCATTTCTCCAGATCTCCTCCCTCACTCCCTTTGGAGATTTCTGTTTTCCTTGCCCCAGGGAGCCAAGTCTGAGTAGAGGCTCAACTACTTACTGCCAGTTTCTCTTTGTACTTCTATGAATTATTGCTTTTTGTATTTTTATTTATTTATTTTTGGAGACAGAATCTCAAGCTGCTGTGGCGTCATAGCTCACAGCAACCTCCAACTCCTGGGCTTAAGTGATTCTCTTGTTTCAGCCTCCCAAGTATTTATTTTTGGAGACAGAATCTCAAGCTGCTGTGGCGTCATAGCTCACAGCAACCTCCAACTCCTGGGCTTAAGTGATTCTCTTGTTTCAGCCTCCCAAGTAGCTGGGAGGGACTATAGGCACCCACCACAATGCCTGGCTATTTTTTGGTTGTAGTTGTCATTGTTGTTTGGCAGGAACAGGCTGGATTTGAACCTTCCAGCTCTGGTATATGTGGCTGGTGCCTTAGCTGCTTGAGCTACAGGCACTGAGCCATGCTTTTTGTCTTTTTAAATTTTGTTACATGTAGTAAGTGCATATGACTTTAGAATTGCTATATGTTTTGGGTAAGTTGATTATTTGATCAAAATGTAGTGACATCGGCTCGGTGCCTGTGGTTCAAATGGCTAAGGCGCCAGCCACATACACCTAAGGTGGTGGGTTCAAATCCAGCCTGAGCCTGCCAAACAAAAATGATGGCTGCAACCAAAAAATAGCCGGGCATTGTGGTGGGCACCTGTGGTCCTAGCTACTTGGGAGGCTGAGGCAAGGAGACTCACTTGAGCCCAGGAGTTGGAGGTTGCTGTGAGCTGTGATGCCACAGCACTCTACCCAGGGTGACAGCTTGAGGCTCTGTCTCAAAAAAAAAATGTAGTGATATTAATTAGTACAAATAATGCTTTTTCTTTATAACCTACTTTTCCTGATATTAGCATAGCAACTCAACTTTTTTTGATTAATATTTCCCTGGTATATCTTTTTTCAATCCTTTTCCTTTCAAACTTAAAATTTGACTTTTATCGATATATAAAAGTCACCCTTTAAAATGTATAATTCAATGTTTT